GCGGTTCCCACCGGGCAGCACCTGCCCTAGTTTTCGCTTAGTGCTCCTCCCAGGAGGGTTTTATTCTGCTCTCAACAGTAACCCCTCCTGGTCCCTTTCTCCAACAGCTGATTAGTCACAAATTCCTGTGGCTTCTGTGACCCTCAAGCTGCCTCCGCTTACTCTCTGGTGCCCAGCCCTAGCCCAGGCCTTCTGCATCTCTCCACTGGTCTGTCTGTCCTGCCAGCGGCGAACACCTGGACAGGCCTGTCTGTGTCTCTTTCACCGCCACCCCCCCTTCCTCAGAGCTGTGCAGGGGCCTGTGATTTTGTAGGAGTTCAGTAACTTCCCGCATGAATAAATGCATTAAAGAAAGAATAAATGAATGAATGCTTGACGCTTGCTCAGTCATAGGCCCTGGACTCCAGGTTAACCTGCTCCCACCCCTCTTCCAAACTAACTACCAGGGCCAACGTTTCATAAAATACACACTGTCCTGTGCTGCTTTATGATGAAAAATGTAGGGAAGGAAGACAGAGCAAAGAGAAGTCAATCTCATGGACCACGGTGGCCTAGAGGGCCATCTCCTGCCTCGGGGACTTTGCAGGTGCTGTACCCTCAGCCTGGAAGGCCCCCTGAATATTCCCACACAGGCCGCTCCCTCACCCCATCCGCTTCTGTGCACACACTGCCTGTGGGAGGTCTCCCCCCATCCCAGGTCTCATCACCTCTTGGCCAATCCCCTCCTTGGTGTTCTCTATGGCACTAACTGCAGCCTGGTTTTTAATTTATGTGTGTGTGTTATCCGTTTTCCCCACTTGAGTGGAAGGACATTCCATGAAGGTAGGGACTTTGTTTTATCCACAGATGGGGCCCCAGTTTCTAGAACAGTTCCTGGCACAGGACACTCAATAAGTAATTGCCAAATGGAACCAGCAGGTGGTGTGGAGGTTAAGGCAGCTGGATTCCCATGGCTGACTGCACGGTTTGAGTCTTGGACCCTTAAGCTTGAAAATCACTCCCAGCACACATGTATGCCCCAAGGGGGGAGTGGAAGAGAAGGGATTGCGGTGCGGCCGTGCCCCTGTGGGATGATTTCTCATTTTCCCACTCTTTCTGTCTCTGTCTGGTGAGCCCACAAAGAAAGAAGGAAAAGAAAAAGAATGGCCAAACAAGCAAGTCTAACCCTGGAGGGCCTTCGCAGTCTGGCCCTGCCCATTTTTCCTGACCCACTTCCCACTGTACCCCCCAAAACCCTATTCTATTCTGGTTCCCCATTCTGCATCCCTTTCCTCCTGTGTCCCTTTCTAGAGTGTTTTCAGATCCATTCTTTCTCCGAAGCCCAGTCACCTCCTGGGAAGTCCTCCTCTACTTCCTAGACTTCCCTAGGTGCGGATGGACGGGCTCACTCTGGGGTATACCAGATGACCGTATAGCACCCGCAGATGGAGGGGCTCACTCAGGTATACCAGAGACTGTACAGCACCCACTTATGTAACAGTCTGAGACCCCGCCAGGGGCCATGTCCTCCCTTCCCAAGCTCTGCGTCCTGTGGGCTCCCAAGGCTGCTGTGCACCCGGGATGAGCCGTCACTGCTGGCTAGCTGGGAGCTGAGTTGCTCTTCAGGGCCCGTTATTTGCAAGGCCTCTCGGAAACCTTAATGTCTCTGAGCAAAGCTCTGGAAGAGGCCAGATGAGGTCACCACAGATGGACAAATATCCTGTACAGCAGACAGGGCTGTGAGCTGCAGTGACAGCGCTTCTGGCCCGGGACTAAAGGGAAGGAGACTTAATCGCATGGAAATAATCCCCTGTTGATATGAATTATAATTGACTTTGTTTCCAGAGTCAAACAGTGATTGATTCTGACCAACTATGCCAGCAGTCACCCCCACTATTCAAATCGATGTCCTGGTCCCTAAATCAGGGTGGGACCAATAGGGCTGCAGTGACAGGACCTTCTGCAAAACAACTTCTCTTGGGGCAGCTCCTCCACCAGGGCCCTGCGCTACCTACCAGGGTCTACTCTCAGAGATGCCGGCCTGTGACCTGGGCTCCTGGAGAGGTCGCACCACCCTGCTCTGGCTGACCAGCCCGTCTCGGGTCCTTCATCTGCCCCTTGCCCACTCTGGCCTTCAGAAAGTCTCCATGCCCAGGCTCTGAGTCCCACAGCGCTCCTCTGGAAATGAGGGGGCCGCCTCTTCGGGAATCTGCCCACTCCCACACAGAGCCAGGAGTACCTGCCCCCACAGCACTGAGTGGGCTACAACACCTCAGAGCCATGTGAACACAAGCTGCAGTGTGGACAGAAGCCCCAGGGATAAACCCTGTGTTGCTTCCCTCGGATGCCTGACCCATTTTGGAGCAAGGGCAGAGAGGGTCCAGAACATTCCTGAGAGTTTCCTGGGACCCAGCAGGGCAAATGGGCTCGCCCAGAACAGGCAAGTCAGTTTCCTGGGACCCAGCAGGGCAAATGGGCTCGTCCAGAACAGACAGGCAAGTCCCCGTCAGGGCTGGAGCTCAGGCATGGAAGTGCGAACCTTGGGCCCCACCCAAGGCTGATGAATGGAAACGAAGTGTCCATTGCTCAAGCTGGAAACAGACCCAGCCAGGGGAGACTCTAGCTCGGGCCTCCGCCTCCGTCTGACTCCTGTTCCCCCAGTCTGAGAGTGTGGTCAAGCTGCTCGGCACAGGGACTGCTGGTCTAAGGACCCCTCATCTGAGACCGCAAGTGTTGGTTGGCGACTGCGCCAGAGCCAGCTTCTACAGCTCACAGCAGGCCGACACACCTTCCCTCTACTCCGGCCGGCTCTGGCCCTCATCACTGGCCAGGGGACGAGGACTGTTCAGCACTGCCCAGGTCCAGAAGGGCCACATCGGCTCTAGCCTATTCGGCCACCCATGGAGCCACCATCCTGCTCCCTGCTCGTGGACCGCCACTTTGGGGCAGCTGAGCATTGGCAGCTTCAGCAGGCATAAGTCTGGGACACCCCCAGGGAGCTGTGTTTGTATCCCTGGCAGCTTCCTGGAAAAAGAGGGCAGGTCACTGTTTCTCTCCCTGTCACCTTGGGTTGGGGCCAACCTGTGCCCCACCCCTGCTGGAGAAGGGACTTCCCATCAGGCTGTAGGCCTTGGAACCCCACTGTCCCTGGGGAGGCCATGCCTGGCTCCGCTCCCTCGTGCTTCTGGCTGCCCTCGGCCTGAGTCCACCTGCCCTTCTCTCTCATGAGGTTCTGACAAGGACTCCCCTCTGCAGGGCCTGTCCCAGCTGAGCCTGATTGGCCGACAGTTGGCCTCAAGGAGGAGGTGTGGAGAAGTGAATGCTGGTGCCTGAGCTCGGCAGGCATTTCCTGGGACCTCCCCGGGACATGGGAGAGCAGAGTGACTCACTGGCACAGCTGCTCAGACCTCCTCTGCTGGCTTGGGCAGAGAGCACCAGGCCCTGCCCCTCACACCCACACCCACACCCATCACCTCCAGGGAGAGGCCACAGCATCTGAAAGGGAGTGGAGGGCTGCGTCTCACTCCCCCGGAGCACAAAGACTGGGCACAGCAGACCGCCCGAATTCAACCCTTGGCCCCAATGGCTTCACAGCAGCATGCCCGGGACCCTGCGGGACGGAGAGCTGGAGGAGAAAGGACTGCAGCTTGACCAGGTCTAGACTTACACGCACACCTCTAACATTAAAAACAGACAGCAAGGGCAGTCACGGAGTACAGTCAGGGTTAGTCCCGGATCTGTCACTCATGACTGTGTGACTCTGGGCAAGAGACTCAGACTCTCTGGGCTTTTGGTTCTTACATGTTACAAGTAATTTCTTACAGTTCTTGCTCCGAGGAGATAGAGTTGCTTAAACCTCTTACTCCAGCCTCGGGGACTGTCCTTTTCATCTCTGCATCCCAGATTGCAGAGGGTAACTCGGCGAAGGCCGAGTGAACACAGACTTGACTGCATAGCCCTGTAAATATTATACACGCTCATACATAAGTGTGTCTTTCACACACGGGAAGGTCTTCAAAAAGGTCATGAAAAAGGCATATAATGAAAACACTACACACGGATTTCACATTTTTTTGCACCAAGATAAACTTGTAGTTTCACTGCATTTTCCCATGGACCCTTTAAAGTCCCTGTGTCTGGAATCTCTCAGCACTTACTCCAAAAGGCCCTAAACCCCTCCGAAACAACATTAACAGGAAGCAAGATCTGTTTTGGATGTACCCATGAAGATAAGATCTTTTTTTTAACGAAATGTTTTAAGAAACTATACTTTTCAAGCCGGAACCAGAGCAGGATCATCATCAACTTGTATTGCCAAGACCTGAAACTAGCCACATCCCGGACCTAGCTTCCATACACCACGAAGAAGGGCAGGGACACCGGACACCTGACACCTGCTCCCACCCTGAGCCAGAGCCAGGCACAGGAAGACAGCATGGTCAGGCTCAGCTCCCTGGCCTGCCTGCAGGGAGCTGTTTCAATAGCTGCCTCTCGGTGCTTCTGCTTTGCCATCTCGGTAATGGGTCCCACGGCATGCATGAGGTGACAGACTAGAACTAGCATGCCTAGCTGGGTAAATACGGGTGGCCCGGGGGAAGGTCTGTGCATCCCTGCGCCCAGCAGCCGGCTTTCCAAGCTGTGTGGAACCCTAAGCCAGACCTGCGGGAGGGCTGCGATCCGCCCACACCTGAGCTCACTTACTGCCAGCCTGGGATAGCCAGGCTCACCGAGGTTCAGGAGACTCTCAGGGCTGGTCGGGCTGGGGCTGGGGCCGGGCCGGGTTCCAGACCAGGGCAGAGGTAGAGTTGGCCTGGGGGGGAAATGTCATGACAGATTCCTGCCCAGGGGTCTCCAGATCCACAGTGCCAGGAGAGGCCTCCGCTGGTCCCCCCGCTGAGAGGTCCCACTGCAGAAGACTGCTCCCCGTGTACGCCCGACCTCCACGCGCACAGCGGTGGGCCTGTCCCGGGCTGGCCTGTCGCAGGCCCTCTCCACCCTCCCTCAGGCCCCGAAACCCCCGCTCCGGCGCTGCGCTGACTCACCCCCACCGGCGGGTCCGGGCTGAGTGGAGGCCACCTGGCTGGCGGCAGGTGCCCCGAAGCCTTCGTCATTCTCGATGCCTGCGATCTCGCTCTCCTGCTGGGCCAGAAAGGCAGCCGCCGGGTCCTCCTCGGCCGCGTCGGGGGCCCCGCTCTCCGACGACGAGAA